AGGGAAATAGTATATGAATTTGTTGACAAAGTGATAATGAATCATAATATGATATTATATACGGGGTGTTCCATTTGAAAAATCAAAGAAACCGCTACTTTATAGTAGAAGCGACAACGCCGCTTCGTCTGAAATATTATAGGCGTGTAGGTCATATTGATGTATGCATACTGTGAAATTTTCAGGTTGATCTGTTGAATAGTTTGTCAGAAACGGCTATTAACACTCATCATGAAAACCCCTGTTGTATTTTTTATGATGAAAGGTTGGTTGTGTAACAGTATCAAATTTTTCTTGAAAAAACAATTGTTCTCTTGCCGACGTTTCGACTTTAATTACATCCTTCTTCAGGGCTTCAAAAGTAGATTATTTGTGTTGATAGTACTATTTTAAAAGGCATTAGACATTTTTTTGGGTTGGTGCTTTGTATACTGAAAAACATTGAGCTGGAATGATCTTTACTTGTGGCGGTACAGAGCTGTGAGTGTTTGATCTACATCTAATGGAATTTTGGGGACTAAGTCCTTTAGCAATCTTATTATTTGGAGTATCCTTTTGAGTATCATTTTGAATCCTTATCGATGATTGCAATAATGAGTCGTTTCGCAAACTTGCCTGAAATGAAACAGCGAAATGCAAGCGAACATTTCTCCGTGATAGATATCTATCACGCAATAGCCAAATAATGAAATATCACTTTAATTTGAGCGAACCGAAATATTGTGGATATCTTGGTAATTTAAGATATTTCATTAGTAAAAAAAATGTTTAAAATCTGTTTTTCCGTCAACCAGCTGTCGCACCCCTACGAAAGACAATCATCAGAAGTCGAAACTTGTGCGAGCTAAGGATTAACAAGGTCTTACCTTTTAACGTGTGATTCCTAATACGTAATCACACGTAATTCCGTGTTAGGCTAATTTGTTTTTTTATTTTCGCTCGAATGCCAATGAAAGCTTTCTATTTATAAATATATCGACATATTCATGATTTTGTTTTCAAACATAAATTTGTATACCGTGAAATTTTTACTTGAAGTACTCATGAAGTCACAAAATTTTGTTACTTTTTCAATATCCAATATGCAAAAAACTAAAATGCATTCAAACAAGAATAATACCAATTATTTTTGATGTATGTCAAAAGAGTTAGAGATATTCACAATTTGAGACGAAAGTTCCAAAGAGAGAACTGTCTTTATGTGGAATGAACTTCCTAAGAAAGTTTTTCCAAATAGATTTAATCTTCAGCGATTTAAATCCAATGTAATTCGCTACTTTTGCACAGGCACCGCTCTTAGAGAGCCTCAAGGATTTTCCTGTAGTGCTTGTGTTTTATCCTTAGAAAAAAAACAGGTTTTGAAAACGGAAAAAGATTCTTTTCTGAAACGTTAACCATAAGTGAAAGCTTGGTGAAAATATTTAATTTTTTCCAATTGAGTTTTTTTCAATTTGTAGGCAAAATTTATGAATATAGTAATTTGACTCTTCAGGGGTTTATATTACACAGTAACTTTTCGGGGTGAACTTTTCAGTTTGCCTTTTGATACACTTCAGCAGATTCATGAAAACAAGTTACTAACTAATTAGACTTTCCTGTAGTTTATATTACACAGTAACTTTTCGGGGTGAACTTTTCAGTTTGCCTTTTGATACACTTCAGCAGATTCNAAACGAAATAGTTTTTCAGCAGGATGGTGCATCTCTTCATTCTGTAATTTTTGAATGATAATTTTTCTGGTCGCTGGATTGGTAGAAGAGGTCCTTCCGAATGGCCATCAAAGTCTCCGGATCTACTCCTGTATATTTCTTTCTATGGGGTCATTTGAATTCTAAAGTGTATGTGATAGAATCAACAACATTATAAAATTTGAGATAGTTGGTGAAAACTTTTTTGAACATTCACTGCAGTAACTTTTTTTTTCTCATTGTCCAGTCATCAGATTTTCATTCAAGAATTGATAAACCGAATATTTCAAAATGTGGCCTCCTGTATAATTGTTGACCTGTTTTTTTATTTTTCCTGCATATCATTGTTCCAAAAGTTATTAAGGGTGGCTAGTTTTCAACTCAAATTATTTGTAGCTCACGAACCATAATTTTCAGACCATATGTTTTATACTTTGTTCAAATTTGCTCATCATGGAGCATCTGATAATGCGAAACAATACAGGTTGATCCTTTACAAAAAATTGATGAAAAGCTCTGGGGGAGCTATAGGGGGATCAACATCAAATGTGAATATGTCAAAATGTGTCCTCCTGTATACTATTTTTATTTTTCCTAAAAATCTTTGTGCCGAAAGTTATTCAGGGTGGCTCGTTTTAAATAGAATGCACTTTATAAACATCCCATTTTCACGGGAGCAGCAGTTCTGTCTGTAGCACAATCTCAAATCAAGTCTGTTCATCTAAATGAAGTCAAAGGTTCCCGTTGCCCGAACCTATTTGTATGAATATGTTGACATATTCAAACTCAATCCCTGAAAGTGAAACAATTCCTAAATCTCGATTCAGATGGCAAGAATGGTTATTCAATCATCAATTAAAATGAACATTTATGTAACTTAAGAAGGGGAAAATATAAAAAATAGATAAATTTGGAAAATATAGCCCTGTCCATTTCCGACAATAGAAAAAATGGTGAATGAGATGTGAATAATATATTTGAACAACTTCGCCAAATTTAAGAATCGTTCCAGAGTCCGACACAGAAGTGATAAGTGTTTTTGAAGTATGTGCAAGTAAGCAAGTAGTATAAAGTTTTATTTTCAAGCTGGAGTGACACACCTAATTCTAGCCTAAATTTTCTGAAAGATATTTCCCTAATTAACTAAAGGAACCCTGGTGCAATTTGAAAAGAAAGCATTGTGTAAAAGTTATAACAGAAATATTTGTCTGATTTTGTATTTTTTTTGGAGTATTTGTACCAAATCAGTCCTCACCTTCCATGTGGACAAAATTTTTATAACAGCTAGTTTTGAATAATAACATAGTTCAAGATATTTTTGGTTTATTTTTGAAGCAAAACGTTTTTCCTTCATGACGTGTTAGGAATTACACGTTAAAAGGTGAGAACTCGTTGATCCTTAGCTCACACAAGTTTCGACTTCTGAGGGTTGTCGTTCATAGGGATGCGACAGCTGGTTAACGGAAAAACAAATTCAAAACAGACAGACAGATTTAATTCCAAAGCAAATGGTGAATTAAAATACGCAATTTCATGTTCCAAATGAGTTCTATTAAATGAAGTTGTAGGTGTTTGTGTCAAAATTATTCTGAAATAGTGACGGTAAGTTCGGCCATTTACATCACATATTTTACGAATTTTTTTTGTTTTATCAACAACGTGTTGAACACTTCAAGAGCAGATTGAAATAGTGGGTTTTNTCAGAAAAATTATTAGATCACTAGATAAGTTAACTGATTCATATTTATATTATCCTCCCTCCTCAAGTTACAAAAATGTTTGTTTAGATTGATAATTGAATAACCAAACTTGTCATCTGAATTAAAATTCAGATATTTCAAGAAATTGACTTTTAATTGGCCAACATGCGAATTATAGGTACGGAAAACAAGAACACGAGACATCGAGCATTTATCCATGAAGGAACTCGATTTTGATTTGTTGAATCCATTCCGAGTACATTCCTGTCATTTTAGACATTTCAGATTTAAATGTTGATAACTTGTCAATATATAAACCATTCCAAACCAATTTCAACGTTTTTTCTATGTATAAAACACAAGCACTACAGGAAAATTCTTAAGGCGCTCTTAGAGCGGTGCCTGTGCGAAAGTAGTGATTCACATTGAATTTGAATCGCTGGAGATTGAATCCATTTGAAAAAACGTTTTCGAGAAGTTCATTCCACATTAACGCAGTTCTCCAAATAAGAGAGTTATCAAACAGTGAAGTTCGAGGGGTACTGAGTTGAACCTCAAAACGATGAGCAGCCATTAGAGAGAATATGGTTGTTCTGATGGCCTACAATTATAAATTTAAGAAAAATTCTTACTTACCCTGAGTTATTCTATTACTTTTTTTATATTTGATGTATTTATGCGAGTCAAATTTTGGCAGATATAAAAAAAATCTATGAAATCTGCTAATCATGTAACGACATCACGACAGATTCTGGTGTTTAATTTAGAAAATCTGGGTTTTTGAAGAGTAATATGTATATCAGAGAAAATTCAAAGAAGCCGCATATATGCTGTCCAAAATCGTATTTAGCCAAGTTAGCGTAGAGATACGTAACATATGGAAATCTATAATCAAGCGGAAAACGGACAACTCTTGCCAAACGGCCAGCTCCCGCTAAAACCGATGAAGCGGAGAGAGAAAATAGGGGATAGGTGAAAGCACTCGAATGACCTATAAATACTCAGCTCTCGGAGGAATAAGACCAGTCATCACCCGAATACGATTTTGGATACTAACAATCGAAACGTCGTGAAGTAACTTGGCTTGTACTCGAATGACCTATAAATACTCAGCTCTCGGAGGAATAAGTCCAGTCATCACCCGAATACGATTTTGGATACTAACAATCGAAACGTCGTGAAGTAACTTGGCTTGAAATCTTTCAATTTCAATTTTCATTTATTGTTAATTGTTCAATTTTCAATTGTTGCTTTCATTGTAATTTCAGTTTTTTTTGCTTGATATAATTGTTATTTTTTTAAGCTAATCTTTTTAATTCAATTGAGTGTTTCAGGGATTTCAAATCATTAGACAATGGAATTCCGAACTAATGAAATGCATATCATCTGAGATATTGAAATTAGATATTCATTATTTGGCTTCGCTTGCAATGATAAACTGATGAAATAATAATACTTCATTCATTCATTCACAAATTTTTTCAAATTTCTTCATCTATGATTTGAGATGGAAAAAGCGACGAATAATGGAAAAGTCATTATCTACCTCACGAAATACTCACATGTCTAGTCACACCGCCTCCATTGCATTGCGAATGGTCTCGTCCGTTATTTAGAGGCACAGCCTCAGAGTCGGATCCGCTCCTATTTTTTTTCCTCTTCAAACTTGGCTTGGATGCCAACTTCCAAGAACATTTTCTTTGTATTTTGTTTCTGTCTTGGATCTGTCTGTTTCCATTTTGATTTGGCATGGGTGTGATCTTTTCGGAAAAAGTCATCGTTTTGGAGCCGATCCTCTCATTATGTGTCACTAATTTTCCAGCGAAAAGAACTGGTGGTTCTTCAGGAGTTAGTTCAAAGTGTCGAAAACTGAGAGGCGGTGGAGAGAGAGTAGGAGGTTTGAGCAAGCTTAGACTCTGGAAACAAAAATTCAATTGTAGCTTTAATTCAAATGAATATTTTTCTGATTGATTCGGCCGTTACTTGAATGGTCGAATGAAGATCCATAGCGATTACACCTAACGATTTGATCCCCACAAACTTTATTTAAAGAAATATATCACATTTTTCGCTAACACAGTATCTTTTTCGCAGTGAATTAGTTACTATAATTCCATTGTTACCTTGATATTTATATACCCTTCGTAATCACAATTGAGAATACCTACTGAGGTACTGACTAGATCAAATTACCTAAAACACCTACATCTTTTATATACCTTTCATGGGAAAAGTTCCTCCTGACTTATCATTTCAACCTTTTTCTTTAAAAAATTATTTCAATACTTAAAAAGGGGAATGAAATAATGCATTCAACATTTAAAGGGATTCGTTTCTATTTCACCATTTGGCAACATCGGTTATAGCTAATAAAGGACAATGAATCTGTTACCTGCAGAAGGCTGTCATTCTTGGCTCATTGTGTTTCCTTAGGGCCCATGATTCTTGGATCCAATGGTCATTTATTCCACGTGGAGAGATAGAACCTGCCAGCCAATTTGAAAACCACAGAGATCATGTATTGGACCCAAAGTATTGAATGAGCCACTGCATGGGGTCTCCTTTCAAAACATTGAAGACATTGACTCATCAAAGCACCCGATCTTCGATCTTCTTTTCACTGAGGTCAAGTAGGCTGGAGTTGGAAACTGAGGGTTCATCATAGCCTGCCAGGATGATGTTTATAACACCGCATTCGCGTGATGGGAATAGAGATTCCAGACACAAGGTTTGGGACATGCTGTAGAGAACCGAATGCACTTGCTGTCAGCATGCCTAGCATATGCGGTCTCAGCCCATATCCATCAACATAGCGTGGCCCTTACGAGTGCTTATTACCATCTACGGCACATTCACGGTACTGACGAGACACCAGTGTTTCCCTACGTTCTGGTAGATATTGAATTCGTTGTGGAGAATGAAAAGTGCCGAATTTATTGGAATAATTCAATCCGCAGCCCCATGCTCATTTAAGCTAATAAGCCAGATGTAATTCTTCTGGATCAATAGAGGAAGACGATATTCGTAGTGGAGTTTTCAGCTCTGTGTGTGACGAATATCGTCCGGAAAGAAGAGGAAAAGAGGATAAAATATCGAACTACCCAGACTCTATCAATTTTAAATGGCTCATTGCCTCTGCTCGTGCTCATTCGAACTAATAAGTCAGATGTAGTTCTTCCCGGATCAACAGAGGAAGACGATATTTGTCGTGGAGTTTTTAGCTCTGGTTGTGATGAATTCGTCCAAAAAGAAGGGGAAAAGCGAATGAAATATCAAGATTTTCTCTTCGAACTTCCTAAACTATATCCATACCACTCTGTTTAGATGGCTGTTCTGAATATTTGAGACCTTGGTGAATTGATGCCCTTTCTACTCTTAAATGTCAAGATCATGCCGGTTTGCCGAATAAAGGCCGAAATTTTGGCTGGATAAAAGCAGAAGGCTATCATTTTTGGCTCATTGCCTCTGCTCAAGGCACATGATTCTCAGACCCAGTGATCACTTACCTCACGGTGTGGGGAGTGGCCATTGGTTAATAATACTTGCGCGTCTTTCCGAATGTGTCGGACCTTCCGAATCAGGGCCCGACCAATAATATCAATAATGAAGATAACAATAATAAAAAGAGCTGAACATAATGCACTTTCATATGACTTTGCTTTCTAAATCGTACGTTCCACGGTTTTACTTTTTCCGACAGCAGGAAGGAAGTGTTCGAGTTTAAAGTGTCTACAAGACAGAATGGAACTCGATGGACCCTGTGAAGTCATCAGGAGTTTGGGTCCCCTTCTCTTCATGGTTCACACTTATGGATGACCAGGAATTGGAAAGGGGTCAATGTTTCGAATGTATGAGTAAAACACGAACAATTACAACTTGTTCATCTATTTTTGTTTCACGCTGATTCTAAAGAAAATAGTGAACTCACAAAAGAAAGAGTTTCAAATCAACTCCAACCTGGATACATAAGGCACTTCTATTCGAGTTTAGAAAATTTAGGTAAATATATCTTGAGTGATGATCTGACCCATCTGGAACTGTACGTTAAGGAGGTTGGTGTGAACCTCGAAGTTGAAATGGGTCAATTGAAGCTGAGCTTACGGCGAGAAGCGGTTACCGAGCAACCTCTGCTTGCTGCAGGCAACCAGTGATGCAATTGAACCCAGGTTTGTGTTTGATAAACCCTCAAAAATACAAATAAAACAGAACATAGAGTCAACGTGTTACAAGATTTAGCAAGTGTTGGCAAGATTTAGCCAAAGCCACGGAAGATAATAACATTATTCTGAGGTGGATCAAAGGACACGACAGGAGTAAAGGTAATCACATTTTCGACTCTTTAGCCAAGGAAGCGGCTGGACTGAGAATTTCAGGACCCAGTGGCACCTACGGCCTGTTGATTTCGACAATTGCGGAACTAGCCAAACGTCACAGCCATGGTCAATCCCGAAAGAAATGGGATTAAATCAGAGGATGCAATCTTGCCAGGATCACCCTGGGCGACCCTGGGAAGCTGTCGCCGAAGAAATATCTGGCGATGACCAGGAAAAAATCTATGCTTAACAGTAGGATTTCTGACTGCCCTCTGTGAACTAAGGAAACACCTCCATAATATGGGGCTAGTGGACACACCTCTATTCAGGATGTGTGAACAGAAAGATGAAACTCAGGCATGTCCTGTGCGAGTGCCCGAAGTTATCGTCAATTGGAGAGTGTGTGTTCGGCGAGTCTTAGCCTACACCTACCGATATAAAGGAGATGTCTCCCAGAGACCTGTCCACCTTCCTGAAAAGGACAGGATGGACGATGACCTAGGAAAACTCCTTGGGAGGATGTATAATGGGTCATCCTCCATACTCTACAGATATCTTGAGTGAAATAGTGAGTAGGACAGTGACTAAAGTATACCATTATAATAAACGTCAGTTGTGTTTTTGTGTTAACGAAGTTTCAAATCGAAAGAGATCCAGTTATCCATATTACACTAATAGATCTGGTTGATTAGTGTCACCGTGAGCATGAATTGGAATATATCAAATTATCAATTTTTCTCTTCCTCTTTTCCCAGATAAGCTATACTTCTGTCATCAGATAAAATACTTACCACCTTTTTCAACAGAAGCTATAACGATTATCGGCGATAAAGGAGTATTACTTTAACGACTTAATGAAATGGAACGAGACTTTCTGGAGCGATTGGTGTCGTAATAAAGACGTGTAATGAGACCGTTCCTTCGAGGACTCCAAAAGGGTTCGTTAATTCCGATAGGTCATGAAAGTTTGATAGCGAAGTTTTGTGAAACCCACAATGTGAATAAATGACCGATATCCCCTCGGGGTGATGCAAAACCCAGTTTTGAATGAACTCGGTTTCATGAACGATGGAACTTTTATTGTAGAAAACTTGGGAAACTAGTTTTATAGTGACACCGTTAAACACAGAATATTTCATTAGGGTGGATCATAATTTCGAGAAGGTTTATGATTCAACTTGAATGTGTGTTGAAGAAAACTTCTGAGATTACTCCGTATTGAACTTCTTTCGAACTGTTTTTTTAATAAGAGGAACTTTTAATTGCTTTTTTAGTATCTAGATGGAATGCAGTTGGAAAATAATATTGTACATTTTGAGCCCACCATACCTCTCTTTTGGTTCTGGGAATTCTTTAAAAATTTTAATACACTGTGTTTTAGGTCCCTGAAGATGCACTCGATTAGGTGCCAAATACGGTTCCACATAAGATCTGTTTTCTATGGAGCCTAAACTACCACAACGGATTCAATATCCTCCAGAGCGTAGGGCCACACCAGTGGTGTCTTGTTAATACCTTAAAAGTGCTGTAGGTGGTAATAAAGCTCTCACAGGGCAACTGCGGTGTTGAAGATACCATCCTGGCAGACTATGATGCACCCCTCAGTTTTGGATTTCAGTTTAGTCGACCTGCGAAGGCACTCTGTTGAACCGAGGTCTTCAATGGTGTTGAAAAAGATTCCATGCATTCATTTTTTTTGGCGTTGCCGCAGTTGCTTGTTGCTGGACAAGTTCCAACACGGTGACAGCTGTTCTGAAGAGGAATCCTCCAATTCTTACTCCTTCATGGTCGCGGACTTTACAGGCTCCATCCAGTACCATTCTGTCATGTAGAGACTCCAAATTCAAAAGTCCATGGCCTCCCAGTTGTCAGGGGAAGTACAACTGTAGAACGGACGATTCAGGATGCAAACTCCTATGGAGGTGCATCATTGTTTGGATCTTTACGTCGAGTTGAAGAAGCTATTATTATTCTTATTATGTTTCCTGAAATTGACCTTGTCAGGCTCTGTCTCCGAATCCTCGACATATCTGAGAAGGCGTGCCAGCATTATCAACTAATGACCACCCCTCATACCGTGGGGTAAGAGAGTATTAAGTTCGAGAATTCTGAGCGAGTTCTTTTTATTACTTAACAAAACTGTACGACTCTCTGCCTGACGGATTCATAGAATTCACTGTTAGTAATTTTGAAAAAAAAATGGGAGCCGTACTTCAGGCGAGGTGATGATTTCCTTGATTACTTGATACACCAGGCCAAGTCTACGTCGATTCTGCATCATAAGTTTAATATATCTATCTATATTATTTCACTGATGTACTAATACTGTTTGAACTGATTGAACATTTCAATCTTCTCCTTGAAGATGATCACTTGGTGATTGAAACACGTGTCGAGGTGTTAAAAACAACGGTTTGGTGTTGGGATGAAGCTCCAGTAATATTCCCAGATAGTTGTGTTTGATTTTCCGTATATAAGTTGTCTTTCTGAGATGAGGTCCAGAGAACCTCGCGTTTTCATCATCTTTCCATATTTCTTATGTTTATTTGTGTCACGGATGAATGAAGACATTCATCATTATCATTATCATCATAAGTTTAATGTACCTATACTATTTCACTGATGTATTAATACTGTTTGAACTGATTGATCTGATGATGATCATTATCATCACTATCATTATCAATATCATAAGTGGGATAAATTGATGTTGAAAGAATATTAACATACCGTAGTCTTTTGTGTTATGGAATCAGCAGTGGATGGATGTCCAGGACTGCTTTCACTTCCAGAAAGGTTTTCGTTCATTATCGATGTGATATGATAACGAAATTCTGGAAAATCATCAAGGACCGTACTCGGAGAGTCTTGAGGAGTTGCTGCTGTGTGAGTAATCATTGGTGGGGATGGCTGAAATTGAGAGCAATATTAATGAACTGCAGATTTTTTTCACAGAAAACTGTAAGAAATCATTGACCTTTTGAGCATAGTCCAAGAACGAGTGAAGGCTATGTTTTTTACACCATTACGAGCAGTTTCACTGTCGAATTTCAATTTTAAATAAAATTTCACGCAAAGAGTATGAATAAGATGATAATGTTCAATCACAAATATGTAGGGTCCTTCAGCCAAATATAATTTGGAGCACTTTTCGAATGTATTTTGATAGTGCTTGTCATCCAGAAAACAAAAGGAAAAATTTCAAATCGGAAGCATTCATCGTAATACACGACTTCAAACCTGCGCGTTCATCGAAAGCTAATATGACATCACAAGATATGTGCGACTGTCGGTATAGCGTCTGAATCACGCTGTTGAGGTTTTAGATGTGATCAGCCCAGGAAAGCCCAATCAAGCTTGCCATAAGTAATTATCTTATTTATAGTTAAAGAATATTTCAATAGAAATGAGAACTACGTTTTTTATTACATTCAATGATTAAAAGTGTTCCTGTAGTTCAATTATTCAAGTTTGAGTTTTGTGCAGCAATGAGAAATAAAAATGTATGTTTGGATAATAAATACGAGTTTTGTTTACCCTGTTCATTATTATATATAAATGCATTCATTTCATAATTACTTTGAAACAAATATGAAGTTTTTTGGTGCATTTCAGGTCGAATAAGTACATAACCTATATGTGCTATAAAATACTTTTTTGAGACGTTACGTCCTCTTTCGATAAACCTTTATTGAGGCTGTTTTCCGAAGTTGCATTCAAAAATATCTGAGTAAGTAAGTGAAGTAAGATGTTGTTTGGAAGCTTTTGAAATTATCTTCAATGTGGTGTTTGAATTTTAAAATTGCCTGACATTTTTATGAAAAGTGATTTATTAAAATTTCAATTTTCATAGTTATCAATTCAGCTGATAACATTTTCAAACTGATCACCTCCAATATATGTATACACAAAAATTAATAGTTGATTCGAAACGTTTTGCACAATTCTTTGACACACATCTTTTAGACGCTGGTTGTGTTCTATATATTTCAGTTTTCAGGAATTCCTACAAAAGGAAATCGTCCGGAAAACCTGTTGATCGTGAGAATCATTTATTATTTCATCCTCTCTAAGGCCAGTGTTGTGGAAAATTTTCGTCTAAAAAGTGACTCACTCCAAAAACAATAGTAGAACCATCCTGTTTAAATAACAAATGACCTTTTTAGTTACTTTCGAATATTCAAACTAAATTACTCAAAAAATTCAATCTGAATTCCATTACAAATTTACACTGAACTTGTTGACACCAGACACCAAAAACAATGCATTCGTCCAGACAGCGCTGATTCGAACCACCATAAGTCTCATCAGTGGTTCTCGGCTGAACCATGGGAACTGTATTTTTACTCCACGAATAAGGCGAAAGAGGATAGTGGATTTGTTTTATATTTTCCACTGCAGCTTTCACTGAAAGACAACGAGTTGAAACCAGAGCCTCGTTTATCTTTGATTTTTCCTGGATGTAGTCTGCCTATTATTCTTCCAACAATGGCCAATAATGACACTCTCAATGATTTTTGAAACTATGGTTCTTCACCGATATTAAAGTAATCAATGTTAGAACTCATTTTGAGACAATATGCATCCAGTAAAAACTGTAGTGAGAAGAATTAATCTTATTACAGATGACGAATTGATTTTTGTTTCCCTCATTTCGTCGACAAAATAAGGTACCTATACTGAATTTGCATCAAGAATTCAACCTTTAACCTTATTAATTTTTTCTTATCTCACTATCCTCTTTCACTTTGAAATACTATTTTTCTGGATTGAGGAGAAAATTAATACTTACCTTCCTAATTGGTTGTTTCAACATTGATTCTTTCTGAATATTGCATTTTGGTTCTTTGCCAGTGAAACAACATTCCTTTTTTGTATTTCTGTCTTTATTATCATAGTTCACTGTACCGAGAGTCGATCTGTGTCCATCGAAATCACTGAACTTCCACAACTCTTCTGCAGACTTCCAACAGTTCTTTTTGTCCTGTGTCAAAAAAGAAATCTTCATTAACAAACAAGGAGAATACAGTTCCGTCATTTTAGTAGTTATACTTTCCAGAGAGGTTCATACTGATACGTTGAAAATCATAAGTCATGAAGTGTTACAAAAATTATGTTGAAATGAAATGGTTTCAACTGGAGACAACGTAATATAAAACTAAATTATTGTTGAAATAGATAATATTTCAATTAGTACTGATGCTGTAACATTGTATCGGATATTTTCATTAATTTTAGGTGTACCTAATGTTCGGTCGTTCAGCAATAATTCGTTGACGTACATTCTTGAAAACAACGTATAATGAAGCCAATATATGAATCAGACAAAAAATATTGCACAAATTCATACACCCATATGTAGTATTATATCAAATCTGGCAAAAGTTGAAGAAAAACTCAAAATATCATCACCCAAATACACACACAATATTATTCGTTATCTAACTATACTTTCTTTATCAATCCCTAAGATAGAAATAATTAAACATTATGTAAAGAATTTGACACTGTTAGTGGAAGTATTCTTAAAAAATTGTATCGAATTGTTTCGAGAACAAATATGTGATTCACTAAAAATTATTTCAGTGATATAATTTAGAGAAAGAATCAAATAAAATTTTCAGCAAAACCAAATATTTCAATTATATGGTTCCACAAGGGAGTATATTAGATACCGTTTCATTCGATATTCATTTAAATGATCAACAAAGTATTAATATTATCGAAATTGACAGTTTTGCTGATGACATGGTTATAACATGCAGCTCTTAAGAAATACTGAGGAAATATTTGAATTGAAGGGGTTATATTTTTTTAGGAGTGATTAATTTTTGGGAAAAAAAGTTTTTGTCCTTCCTTTCTTTGGAAGACTTCCTCATTCTTCTTTTTTTGTATCAAGATGGAGTAGTAGAAAGCCAAAAACTTTCTTTCCCAAAAATGAGGAAATACATTTTAAAGTTATTAAAAAATGGTTTGATGATAATTTACTTACGATGAGTTTTTTGAAAACGGAATAAATTCTCGGAAAACAAAGGTTTGGGCTGTCTACTTCTCTATCTCTATATAAAAAAAAGGAAGTCTTCCAAAGAAAATAAGGAAGCAATCAATCACAAAAAATTATTTATAAACAAAAATGTGTATATTATGCAAAGAAGTAACTTTTAGACTCAAACTGGTAGAAATTAATTTTTTTCTTAGATGTATCAAGATGAATACTCATCTCTTTAACATGTAGTAAATCAGATGAATTATAAAATCACAAGTTATGAGAATATATATTTTCGTGAAGAAAATTCAAGATAGTACCAATGGCTTCTACGGTTAATTTTTTACTCGATTCTGAAATTTCACCCTGTATCAATATATAACTTTATATGTATTAGATATCAAACTGTGTGTAAAAGAGATACATACGTACTAGAAAATAAATATTTAAAAATAAAAACTCGAAATATTCATCTCTTCATACTAACTACACCGTAGGTTCTGGTAAATGTCTGCCGAACACCAACTACTTTCCTGGCTAATCCCGCCCAGGACATTTAATTAAATCCGACAGACATTAATCAGTGTAGGAAAAATCCGACCCAAACAGCAAAGTGCCTGGGCCTCGATTGAATTCTACGCTGCTCGACTTCATGTATGAAGTCGAGCAGCGATTCTGACATTGACAATAATTTCCAAACGTTATAAAATAAAGATATTGACTTGAAACGTTTGATTCCTGAATTATTTCGACTTCAAATCAAAGGAATTCACAGTAGGACTGACTAGTCCGAACGTTGGTCCTTCGAGCCGGATAGCCTTACGCCAAATAATTTTTTAATGCAAATGGAGCTGCACCACCATTGGGAAAATTTGAGGAAGTCGAAGTAAACCTGAGAAAACAGTGGACAGTACCTCAAGCCTTAGCAGATATATTCTGGAGAAGACGGCGAAAAGAATATTTACTTACACTGAATAAACAAATGAAGTGGTATGAGAAGGGGGACGACTTATCAGAGGAGGATGTGGTACTAGTCATTGACGATACATTACAAAGTACTTTGTGGCTACTTGTTGAAATTGTTAATGTTTTTACGGGAAAAGATGATAAGATTAGAGTTGTGGACGTCAAAACAAAATCAGAAACCTTTAAACGGCCAGTTAAAAAAATCTGTATATTGATCAGTGGTACAGATTCTTAACGGAAATGGATTGAAGAATGTGTCAAATGCAGTGATTTCATCATGAGGGGGAGAATGTTGTTGCTTTGAATTAATTTTGTTCACTTGGTTTAAATAATTGATCATGGTTTGTTTTCAAAAAAGAGACCATTCTGACATTGACAAAAAATTGAAAAGTTATGAAAAATAAAGATATTGACTTGAAACGTTTGATTCCTGGTTTATTTCGACTTCAAATCAAAAGAATTCACAGTAGGACTGACTAGTCCGAACAGCGGGGAAGAAACATCCCATGTACAAATAGTCTAACAGAGAGCAAACTGTGTCTGTATTGTTTATCTTAGTGATAATTGGGTGTCGACTACATTTTAATGAGTACGGAAAATGTAATTATGATATTAACGTGAAAACTCACCTGGACAAAACTGTCAGATGAACTAGTAACCGAATGGCTACTGCTCTCCCTCAAACTAGCTTCTAAAATGCAAGACATTTTCCGCCTCGCTAATTCTCTCTGTTCTCGTTCTCTTCTTTCATTCCTTTCTGAACTAAACCCCTCAACTAAAATAGCTACCAACAAATTGAAGAGAACATAATTTCCAAATGTCATGAGGGCAACGAAATACAACGCAGCCCAGTGCGACGTTTTTGCCATTCCGTTGGAAAGAACCATATTCCAGTCTTCTTGTGTTAAAATCTAAAAAAAACATGAAAGTCATTCAATGCGTTCATTGTTCCTAGCCGTGGATGAGGTTAGAAATGCGTTAGGTCTCGAATTTTTGTAAAAATACGAAACCCCAAGCAAAATATGGTGAAAAAAGAAATAAGCAAAAACTGATCTCACTTGAAATACTGTGACGGTGGCCCACAGGATGTTGTTAAAGTGTTTTCTGTCGCATAAACATCGCTTGTCGTTCATCATTTCACAACCACAATCTTTTGTGACTCCTTTATCATCTATATAGGTGCAAAACTTACCACCGAACAGGTACATGCCCAGAATGCTGCAGGAAATGTTTGTAAAACGTGTTAGTTTGCGCGACTACTAACTAATTGGTAATTTGTGTGTTTTTGATGTTTGTTTGGAGTCAAACTTTCGGAAGTGACTGTCCTGAATATTCCAGTTTCTGGTTAGGGCTGAGGTCAGGACCGAAAGTTTTTTTAGTATTTTAGATGGCGAGAAAACTACTTTAGGTATATTGTGTATAGTGGTGTCCAAGAATATTGTTCTGAAACAATATAAATATAACAATAATAATCAATTATTGCATTTCGAAAAATACGTTTCATAACAAGAGTAAAAGTCTGACGGAAAAGAACAGTCAACTTATTCTAATATCGGTGCATACAAATGCAAAAATTATGTCTTGAAAAACTTTGTTATGGAAACTCCAATTTGAAACTATATATTTTCCCCAGAACTTTACATTTGCATTTGTCATCGAACACGTTTTTACCAATTCATTTTATATTTGTTATTTATTGAAGCAGAACAAAACAAATTATTACTCATACTATTACAAAAATCTGTTTTTGTGTGCTGATGACCATCATTATATTCTTGGTGATTCAAATATACATTGAAAAAAGAAAGAGAAATCGTTAAACGGTAAACAACAATATGATGATAATTTGTTTTACTGAATTCTTCTACAGTGGGTAACCTCTTGGTAAATATATCTAGAGAAAGATCAATCTTTAGGCCTCGTAGAGTTAACATTTTTGTCCAAACCATAACTGAAATGCATACATCCTTCAAAAGTATTCGTAAAGTATTTAAAATAGAATAATCTACACTACAGAACAAAAATACCGTTGGTATGAATAATACAATCATAGCTTTTGGTGAAATTCATAAATACAACAGGTCACGATCATCTAGCAAGCGTATAAAATATCTTCACAGAACAGCAAAAGGTCAATAAAATACTCCACAGGGATCCATTAGCTACCCCTGGAGTATACCGAAAACGTGTAGTTGTGGTAGGGTTACACCAAAAACACGAAAAGAAGCGTTAAAACACGCTTGACTGAGCACAAGAGAAGTTGCCGCTCTCGTAGACGGCAGCTTTGACATTGTTTTTTTCTGATTGATTTGTCCGTTATTTGATGAAGATCTATAGTAATTTCATAAACTATACCTCACGATTTGATCTCCACAAACTTTATTTGAAAAATATATCACGACATGTTTAGCTAACACAGTAACACAGTATTCAAATCACTGTTGATCAAACTACTATGTTAGCGTGTGTAGATCAAATCGTGAGGTGTAGTTTATGAAATTACATTGCCTTTGACCGCATGCAAGTTCTTGATAAAACTAGAGGCTACTATCCGAGGTTATTCAGAGACGCCACAGAAATATATGAACATAAGAATAATTTCAACCGTGAAAGAGTTTAAACATCAACAAGACATGGCTCCCGGTACTTCATAATACAAAGATTATCCCAATAATTGAAGAAGGGTTAGACCAAATAGGTACAAGAACAGTCGCCCGACCAACACCCATTATAAGTACAAACGCACCAGGACCATTTTAACAAGAAGTTCCGTGGACTAACGAAGCTAGATACCTGGGAGTCACCCTACATAAAAAATTAACATTCAGGTCCCACGTACGGTAGATAAAAGGAATGTCGCGATCCGCCCGACCACACCTATTACCAATAATAGGTCGAAGAAGCAACATACAGAAGACATATCCAGTCGTTTATGAAGACGTGGGATGTTCTGCACACAGTAACCCTGTGGGGAAGATTTCAATTCAGGGCACTCAACCCGGGAGGGAGCATTGGGGGGACCATTTTGAATTTCGCGCATCGCAGCAGAGTAGATCACTTCGACCGTTGCTGCATCGCCTTTAATAATGTCTGCCGCAGTAGCAGACGAAACGTCAGGTATAGAAACTTGCGGACAACGGCTAATAAACCCGGAAACATCGGATACTGGCCGTGAAAGCTCAAACACCAGTATTTTTTTCAGTTTTTGGATCATTATCTGAATGTCATTTTTTGTAAAGGAAACATGAGTTTTTCTGCAGTACTCTGTGTTCTGAGTATTTTCTCTTGGAAATGTATTTTTATCGGTTTCAATATAATCTTTACGCAAATTAGAATTCTCAGGAAGTATTGTTTTTTTTTGAAAAGCATAATTTTCCTTCATTTCAATTCAGAATGGTTATGATTCGAGGACAATATTCTTGGACGGAATGTTTTTTCTTGATGTAATTACTGTTAAATTGTGAAACAGTGAAATTGTGAGACACTCAAATTTTTCAACTACTACTACGTGACTACTTTGTTATACGAGTATTAATCCTGAGTTATTTACTTCTCAAATTCATGAAACTAATCTACTAACTCAGAGTTTTGCAAGTGCCGGAGGCTATCTTGCTAATAACTACTCTTTTGTAGTGTTAACAATCTTATACTGTCATAGGATATGATATATTTGCAGGGGTGACATGTTGATAAACATATTTTATCCAATCAAAAGCAATTATCAAAACAAGCACAAATCATCAAAAGTGAAGGGAGAAATATTAAATGCAAATACAGAAGTGCAGACCATCAATGTTTTTTTCAACAAAAGTATATTAGAGAAAAAAAAAACAGTTATTGGTTGTATGAACATCGATGCTGAGCAGGCAAAATATTTCAATACTAGAAAACCATGCAGAGGAAAATGAAAAGTAATTCAAAAAATCATAGCGAATTTACATGACAAAACTCTTGACTCATCAAACTACATGAATAATCAACATCCCAGTGTATCAATTTTGAAAGATTTATTGAAATGTCATATATGTACATATTGATACGGAATAATTATCCAACTGGGATATGGATTCTCAAATTTGCAGACATTTTGTCATGTAACAACAAACACCTACCTTGGAACTTGGAAAATGCATTATTATCCTTGAATACGATCTGTTTATTTACCAAACTGTCCTTCCCAAACTCGGAAAGAAAAATGAACTTATCAACATGTCAGTTAATCTTACTGAGAATGGAAATTGACAGTATATTGAATATAATCTTCTATATTGCAACGTTTGTAATGTAAGATTAGAGTAATATTTGAAACACATATGTAATTCAGTGAATTCTAACTGGATTATTGTTTTATAACTATTTCTGAACTAAACTTTCTTATGGTATTTGATAGATGAAATCATGTAAAATACATATATTATGCTCCATCCTTTTTATAAAAATGTTATATTAAGTATAAACATTATAAAATGTTCAGTTTTTCTTACTGAGAATGGAAATTGACAGTATATTATTGACAGGGTATTATAACTATTTTTGAACTACATTTTCTTATGATATTTGATAGATGAGATCATATAAAACACTTATGCTATGTTCCATTATTTCTATAACAATGTTATATCAAGTACGACAATTATAAAATGTTCAGTTTTTTTAGTGAAAATGGCAATTGAGAGTATATTCAATGGTTTGTTCTACATTGCAACACTGTAATATTATGGAATTACTTGAAATATATACGAGATTCATTGGATGCAAACTTTAATATTATTTCATAACTATTTTTGAAATTGTATATTCTTATGGTATCTAATAGAAGACATCAAATAAAATACCTATATTCCTTAAATACCTATACTGCATTTACTATTTTTATGGCAATGTTACATCAAGTACAAAAATAACAAAATGTTCATTAGGAAATATTCCTGTTGAAACTGTTTAATAAAATACTTTTTTTTCTGTTTCAAATCAGGACAGAAATTATTTTGGGACGAATAATAATGCGAAACAAGATTTAGGAAATGTGCTTTGATTTTGCAGATCGGGATAAAACTTTGCTTTTTCCCCTTTCCTAAGTATAATTTCAATTTTTTCAAAACAGTTTTCTAGAAAATTTTACTTATTATTTTATTAAATTTCATCAATAATTCAGTAAAAAAAATCACGCCGCATTTGAAGTTACAGTGAAATAAACGAAATGAGGATATCAATAATAACATTTCGAAGGCATAATTTCACTTCAGATCCTTTTCTGGAGGATCTTTGATGATATATTTGGTAGGGGAGTCACCAGTGGAATCCCCAATTATATTATCAAATATATTGTCAGCCACTGTTTATGACCTCATCCAGTTAATGCAAATTTCTGGTATCTCTATTTTTGTATTCACTAAATCTGCTACAGAGGGGGAGGGGATTAGATTGTTTAAAGAAAACTGCAAGATACCTGAAAAACGGTCACTAGCGACCATAATAGAGAATCAAAATTTTTTCGATCTTTGTCCTCATCACTGTCAGATATACATATTTCCTCCTCCGTATATTTTAATTCGTCTTTGCAAAACTTGCAACCAAATATACTCATACCAAGGATACTAAAACATTCCAAAAATCATTGTTTAACTAGTGAAAGCGATTGAAATCGGCGTGTATCAATTCATAACGAGTATTTTTTCAAAAATGATTCCTCTTCATTAAATGGTTGGATTGGAAGGGTTGTATTCCTATCGATACTTTGAATCATGGTGAGAACTATGGACCGGTATTCATTGTCAAATTGTTAGTTCATATTACAGCATACAAAGTGGAAACTCTCACGTCGAGGCGTGGATTACTCTGATTTACATTTGCGGAATCTCTAATAGAAAAGAACTGATTTAAAAGATGTTTGCAGTGGAACACTGTGGATTCCATTTATTTTAGGGCTTGAGTGGGAGCTCATAGCACCAATTGTAAATCTGATTCAGGTAAAATTTTTGGAAATTTGGTCTTTTTCGTTCATAAAATTTGAAAAGAACAATACCATTATTATGATATTAATTTCCAAAGCTCAGAATCCGGGAGCCTCAGGATTTGAGCCTTTAAGTCGATCTTCTGAGTACAGTGATAAACTATATGGTTTAGGTCATTTTATGAACCATACGTAAAAGCCTGCGGAAAATTCGGATATATAATATGTATTATTTCCACCGACAATCGTGAATATTTGGCAAACATACTTGAGGATCCACTTATATCATATTTTATTCCGTAGGTTTCTGACAATTCTCATCAAACAGATGTGGAAAACAAATATCGGAACATACGGATCCCAATGCGTACTGTTCGTGGTTCGTGATAGCATTCGACCAGTTCAAAATTCGGGATTTGTTCGCGACGGAATATCAACTATTTGATTGAAATACCATTCCCCTTTCTGCACTTTTCAACTCGAGCAACTGCTAAGTTAAGTAGCAGTCAGTTCATAACGATTAAAAATAAAATACTTTTTTGCGAACTCCAAAATGTTATCGTTCACAAAAGAAAAAAAGATACAAGTTTTTAAGTAGTATTTTGGTGGTCACTCGATTGCAGATATAATGAATCTATGTATGGTTGTATTTGAAAATGGGACAATTCCGTCACAGACCACCATTTGTCGAATTATTAAAGAGTTCGAGAAGTGTGGATGTATTCAGAACTGTTGAAAGTGTCAAAATTCCGATGAACCACCTGTTAGGCTAATTATAGAAGACCTTCAAAATGGGGAATTAACGGTATGTGACGCTGTTACCCACTGAACCTTGTATGAGCCGACAAATTGCAGATCCGACAAGTTTCATTCAGTGCAGGATTCTTCACTGAAGTTATTCTTGAATATGCTGTCGGCGATAAAACTGCCACAATCGATTTTTTATTATTGGAACACTCTTGCAGGTTGCGTACTGTTTGGTTCCTCGTCAGTGCAAGGTAGTGTCTATCATCAACATGAAGTCAATGATTTCCGATAATTGAAAATCGAATTCCTTCAGAGTATCATTCCGCGAACTAGGCTGAAGCGAACGATAAACAACATATTTGTCATCGCCCCATCTGCCTGTGAACGAGGTAACCAACCGCATATACGAAATTTGCATAAATCCTCGAATAAGGAATGAAACTTCACAAATGAAGTGGGCATACTTGGAGATTGGCTGTAAGTCAATTTATCTAAAAGAACAATTGCTTCAGGCCAGTCTCTTTACGTAAGGAACACAATCTATCCATTGTCGGACACTGGTCTCGGAAAAATCAGCATCTAAGTATTCCTGTGCGTACTCAGTACTCACAAATACTCATTGTTGGGACAGGAAAATTAGAGAAGACTATATTATATCTCCCTACCTCATTGATGGTAACCTGAATATTGTCAAATACCTACAGCTATTACAAAATCAAATTATTACACGTGGTATAATGAGTGAACTTCCAGATAACCAGATTCATCTTCGAATGATTTCTTTCTTTGGGGGTATCTGAAAGGTAGTGTATATTGGCATGAATTTCAGAGAGCTTTAAATCTTGATGAATTAAGGGCAAAATTTATCCAACTTTGTGCCAGCATTACGCCAAATGAACTCACAGATACGAGATTATCTCTGTATCACAGATCTGGTTATTGTTTGGCACAACAAGAAGATTTATTTGAACTTCTATTACATTAGGTTTGTAGTTTTTTTTGAGTTACATTTTACTTTAGTTTTCAGAAGTATATGATATGTTCTTTTGAGTTTTAGAGAAAATGGTTAGTGTATTTTCCAAGTCAAATGAAAAGGAGACAGAGTACATATTTCTTCATGAGAGAAATAATTTGTCACAGTTATCTTAGCAAATAATTTCTTGCTGACAATGGATCTTCGGCGTAGCAAAGTCCCTTCCTCAAAGTCAGACGTACACAAATCTCCTCTAACATGTTCATACCCATGAATCGGGAATCGATTGCCGTGACTAGCGAACATACGTACACTGTGAGTGGGGATACATCAACGTGATTCAATCGAATAGTTGATATTCCGTTGCGAACGAATCTCTAATTTTAAAGTGACGTCTAGATGCTGGACGGGGTCTGCTATCGCGGATTCGTATGTTCCGATATGTTTTCCACATCTGTATAAGTGAGATATGCTACACCTTCACACTATTCAAACAGCAGGATGAGAGTTCAGTGAACCGAATTCAATGTTTAGAATAGAAAACGAATATTGTAGATTGCTTTTATATGCTACACATATTTGCTATTTTCACAAAAACTCAAACTTCAAGTTTCGAACTACGTATTCACGATATCTACCATATATATGATCATGATTATTGTCTGGATGAATTACTTTCGTTTTTTGTGAAACGATGTATTACTGCTGAGACATTTGTAAATGAATACACTTAAATGGTTTCATTGACACACGCCGATGAAAACAGATTTCATATTGAATGAATGGGCTGGATACATAAATTTTACGAATTGGTTGATTCGGTTTGTGATATTTAGAATGTTTGGTATTGATGCTTATGGATATACATCATAACTTCAGCAAAAAAATTAAATGAAAAGCATTTGTTGAGACTCAGTTCATTTGATTCTTTTTCGTGTCGGAATGTTTCGTTTGTGTAGGAGTTTATTTACAGTTGATGGAGGATTTTAGTTTTTAGTTGTAATGAACAATATGAATGACATGTTGACAGAATTACTGACAGAATATCGGTTTTTGGCAAGTTGCTTGCTCGTCGTGTCGCTTGAGGTTTTTTCTCTCATTTTTGTTTTATCATGTCACCGAAGAACTGATAGATTTGCTAAATACTGAAGAGATTCAAAGAAGATAACAGTTGATTTAATTTGTTGAATAATTCTCAACTTGCGGGCTCTTCAACGATGCTGTATATAATGAAAAACAGAAACAAAATATGTGTGTGAAGGTGTACTCATAGGCATATTCTTTGGCTTGTCTCTAAATGCGTCTTTTGAATGAAACGTTGAAATGAAAGATTTATACAACATTGGCCCTATCATGTCATGAATTATTATCGGTGTACACACGAGAACGAAACTTTACTATTACCGAATATCTTCCATCATACTCAATGATAATAATAATATTGAATGATGAAGGTATTGATAATTTGATAATGCTCTCCCTATGCTCGAAGATCAAACCGGATCGATGCACCAAGATAGGCTATTATACTTTAATGCGTTTTCTCAGGGCACACGATTATCGGACCCAATGATCACTTACCTTACGGTGTGGGTTATGAATACCGGTACACTTGATATAAATATTTCCTTGTGGCCAACTAGTAGCTGGCGCTGCCGTTTGCTCGCTACGCCATATCTTACGAGTAGGAGTGCGATTACGATAATTAATTATTTTCAATGTTCCAAAATCGTGAATTTTGTTGAATTATTGTTTTGTAGATGGATCGATTGATAAAACGTTGAACGCATCATTATTTTTTTATGCAATTCACTTCCTTACCGGACTGTTTTCGAATTGATTTTTAACAGTTTTCTGAGAATAGGTAAATATTTTTTTTATCACTGACCTGCTGATCAATTTGATTTGAGTTCAAGTTCTTTCAATAAATAAATAATTTATATATTATTATTTTCATTATCAATTGAATCGAATAATCAACTTTCAATTAAGGTGAGCCTCATTAACCTCCCCTACCTTACGTATAAGATTCTTCTTCAAATTTAATTGACTATTTCACTACTATACGTATTTTGCCCGTAAACTATGTAAACTCTTTTTCATACATCACAAGTCTGAAACACCGGTAGACTCCCAACTACGGTTTCCCCGCCGCCGACGTTAGTTCAAGAGTATTTATCCACTGTTATGTAAGTGGATATTGAATACTGTTTTCTATTACGCTGAATTAGACAACTAAGTCTTTCTGCAGATCATACGCTCGACAATCATGTAGAGAATCATCTATATTTACGCTTCACAGATTTTTATATTTCACAGGAAATGTTATTGTATTTTCTTAGTGATATCCTGTTAGTGCTGGTAGTTTGATATGAGTAATATTTACAACAGTAAAACTGTAGACTGTAGAGAATGTGCTATTGTGCATTTACAAGTTACAAAGTAAAAAGAAATAGCAGTGTTCAAGAGGTACACAGTGGCGTGTAACCAAGTATACAGAAGTCTCTAACATCGAATAAATTAAAAAAATAAAAACATTTTTTTCAAACTGAAAACTTATGTACACAAACGAAACTGATCAAATCAAATGCCACCCCTACTAATACCCCATTGAAATAATAAAAAAACTGTTCTTGAGTATCGTCAGCGTGTTGTTTGGAAGAGTTCGTGTAGTTGGTTTTGATGTATATTGATCTAGGATTATCTACCAAAAAATAAAACACGTAAAACTAATCACAGCCGAATTCTTACCTGAATATGAATATGAAGAGGATTAGTAGAGAGAAAAAGACTGCAACGTTATCCATCGTTCTCAACATAACAAATAATTGTCTCCTCAGATTTGGCATAAATCTGACCAATTTCAATATCCTGAGAAGACGAAATGTTCTCAATACAGATAAACCAGAATCTGTATGTGGTTCACCCAAGAAATTTTTGAACAATTCGATAGCGCTGAAATAAAGAATGAATGAAATACAAGAATGAAAATTGGAAACACATAACAGGGATTTCTTAAATTCCCTCAAACTTTGATTGTATTACAACATGATGATAGAAGTAATATAGGCAGACTTGAGGCATCCTCAACATCTAAATTTTAAATACTGAACTTAATCTAGTCATATTTTGTACGGTAATATACAGTATATACGAAGTCAATTCGAGTGCCATAAAAACTAAATAGTTACCGAACGTCGCCAGTTTCTTTGTATGGCATGGGCGGCCTAATTATTGTTTTTATGTGGGAGGTTTTATATGGTATTGACTAGTAAATTTATCAGACCCGGTACATTAGTCTTTTATTTAGCTGTTCGGATTGACTTCGTAAAGACTATACATTCAATATTCAATTCAATATACATCAAATCATCGAAAGTCTCGGGAATATCGAAAGAACTTCAATGTTGCGACATTGAATGTACAGAGTGGGCCAAATTGGACACTTTTAAAGGAAACTCCTGTTTTCAAACCAGATAGATGAAAACTGAATACTGCGGTGTAGAATTTTATGACAAACTCAATTATGAAAACCACATATCGCTATCTATAATCGTTTCTGAGTTACAGCATGTTTTTCGAAAATGTACTCTTTCGAGAAGTTGCTGTAACTGCATGAATTTC